GGGAATTCTTGTTCAGATACATGTTAGATTAATGGCTTAAGAGGTTCCTTCCAACTTTGGGATTCCATAATTCTACAAACAATCATTTACTAAGCATCTGTGCTAAGCCATAGAGATACAAGATGAAAAATGGTGGGGACCCTGCCCTCAAGATGCTTAATATCTAAATGCTCTAGACGGTCAAGGTCATTTTGAATCCTGATGCTGTCTCTCTGTATATTAGCTATCTCTCCCAGCTTTGTCTTCTGCAAATTTGATAATCATATCATCTATGCCAGTCACTAGCAAAATTGTTAAACACAGCAAAACAAAACACAGATCACGTAACTCTCCACTGGAGAGTTAACACCTAAATACTACCATCTAACTGTTAATAAGTAAGTCCAACTAGTATTTAAACTAGGCTAACATAATATCATTAAGGGAGAGAAGAGGTTTAGAACTGCTTTAATAAAGCAAGTAAGAATAATATAAGAAAAATTCTGCTATTGGGAGCCCTTGGGGATCTTGCACTTAACTAACCCTTACTATGTGATTAGAAGGTAAACTCCTATTGAAATGGAGGCTCCTTGAGAGGAGAGACTTGTATTTATATGCCCAGAATCTAGCACAGTATCTTGTACATAGAAGGCACTTAAACAATGTTTGTTGATTGATTGACATCATCATTGTTCCTCTGCCTACAGTAAACCTGTTTCTATTGTATTTAAGAAGACACGATATGCTGCTGTTTTGGCAGCTTAAAATGAAGAGGGACAAGAAAGAACCCCAATTCACATGTGGTTTCCATTTCAATATATAACTTTATTATTGTTTCTAATATTACTATCATCATCATTATGACACACAGCATTCCCCAAAATAACTCTGATTTCTTTGGTGTAACACATCCCCTCCATCAATGTGGATTACAACTCTTCTATGACCTAAGCTGGTATGGTACAGTGGAGAGAACACATTCTGGGGTCAGAAGATGGGGGTTTAAATCCCTCCTTGGAAACATTGCCTATGTGACCTTGGGTCTCAGTTTCCTCCAGTAATAAGAATGAGCATGTCTATAGTGCTTTGAGTTTTGCAATGTTTTATGTCATTTGACCCTCACTACAACCCTGTGAGGCAGATGCTATTTTTATGCCCATTTTACAGATGAAAAAACTGAAGCCAAGAGAAACTAAATGATTTACCTAGGGTCACACAATGAGTATTTGAGGGAAAATGCAAACACAGGTATTCCTGAATTTAGGCCTAATGCTCTATCTACTTCACCAGCTAAGTGAAAATTGAGGAAATTGTACTAGATGAATTCTGAGGTCATTTCTATCTCTAAATCTAGGACTGTCAATTCCAGTGGAATTCTAGTTCCTTAAGGACAGGGAAAAAAACTGTGTTTTTTCACCTTTTTTGTATCTTCAATGCTCAGCATAGTACTTGGCACAGAATAAGTATTTAATATATATTTGTTGGTTCATTGAATGGATACCTTTTTAGACAATTGTATTAGCTGCTGGTGTAAAAAAAAAAATCTTCTCTTATTTGCCAATAATCTTCTCTTATTTGCCAATCTTCTGATGATATGTTTCTCCACTCATAGCTAAACCAGTCCTCTGAGGATGGACATACAGGCCATAAAGGGCCTGATTTGAAGCCAGAGACATAATTTTAGAGAGTAAAGGCAATTTAACAAATGCACCACCATTAGTGGCAACAACTGAACTTTGCACCTGATTGTCAAGAATAGTATGCTGAACCATTAGTAAGCTGCTGAACCATTAGTAAGCTACTGAACCAATAGTAAGCTACCAGACCACCATTGTTAATGGCTCCCATTTGTGAGCTACTATAATAACTAATTCTCTCCCTGACTAAACTGACTTTGCCTTTATAATTCCTTATATTATTTTTGCATCACTATTTATGAGGTTAATTTCAGGGGCCTTTCAGCGCTACTTGTCTGAGATTCCAAAATTATTAAGTATCACTTGGCTTGAAGCCTTTCTAATTTGGGAGGAACTGACAGAGCTCAGACATTTTCAGTATAGCCTTGGAGATCCCAGGGTTACCCTTAAACTGAATGTGGAAATGGAAGCATGCTTCAATGACTGTACATAATAACACCAGCAAGAAAAATAACAGGAATAGAAGAGGTTAGCAGGAAGCTCAGGTTGGATCTCCCCCAGTGCTTAACACAGAGGTGGGGAACCTGCAGCCTCGTGGCCACATGTGACCCTCTAGGTTCTGACTGCTGTACTTGAGGACCTTGAGAGTCACATGTGGCCTCAAGGCTGCAGGTTTCCCACCCCTGGCTTAACACAAAGCTTTATACATAGGCTTAGATATACATATCCATCTTTCACTTAAAGATTTCCAGGGATAACAAATTCGCTACCTCCTGAGGCACTTCACTCTGTTTCTGGACAGTTAAAACTGGGAGGAAATTTTTCCTCATATTAAATAAAATCTGCCTGCGTATCATTTGTACCCATTGCTTCTAGTTCTTCCTTCTGGAGTCAAACAAAATTAGTCACATCTCTTTTCTATGTGACTTCCCTTCAGAGACTTGAAGAAAGTTATTATAGCCTACACCCCCTTATATACACACATACTACACACACACACACACACACACACACA